CCCGAGACAGCTTTTCTTACAGCCTAGTCTCCATTGGTGTTGGACCAGAAGACGCCAAAAGGCGTACAACTCAAAAACAGCGCACTATCAGAGTATTGAGGGCTCGGGGTGAGCATTCACACCATGAGACCTCCTTTGCCAGAAACAAGATATAGGAATAGGTTTTACCCTTTTAACTGGCACAAAAACTGACACCTTTATTCAAGGCATCATGTTTGCAATAACCACAACACAAGCAGTCAAAATGCGAACAAAAAAGACAACTCTGATAATAATATGCACTGTCCTTGAATTTGATTGGTCCCCACCCGAGACAGCTTTTCTTAGAGCCTAGTCTCCATTGGTGTTGGACCAGAAGACGCCAAAAGGCGTACAACTCAAAAACAGCGCACTATCAGAGTATTGAGGGCTCGGGGTGAGCATTCACACCATGAGACCTCCTTTGCCAGAAACAAGATATAGGAATAGGTTTTACCCTTTTAACTGGCACAAAAAACTGACACCTTTATTCAAGGCATCATGTTTGCAATAACCACAACACAAGCAGTCAAAATGCAAACAAAAAAGACAACTCTGATAATAATATGCACTGTCCTTGAATTTGATTGGTCCACACCCGAGACAGCTTTTCTTAGAGCCTAGTCTCCATTGGTGTTGGACCAGAAGACGCCAAAAGGCGTACAACTCAAAAACAGCGCACTATCAGAGTATTGAGGGCTCGGGGTGAGCATTCACACCATGAGACCTCCTTTGCCAGAAACAAGATATAGGAATAGGTTTTACCCTTTTAACTTGGCGTCTTCTGGTCCAACACCAATGGAGACTAGGCTCTAAGAAAAGCTGTCTCGGGTGTAGACCAATCAAATTCAAGGACAGTGCATATTATTATCAGTGTTGTCTTTTTTGTTTGCATTTTGACTGCTTGTGTTGTGGTTATTGCAAACATGATGCCTTGAATAAAGGTGTCAGTTTTTGTGCCAGTTAAAAGGGTAAAACCTATTCCTATATCTTGTTTCTGGCAAAGGAGGTCTCATGGTGTGAATGCTCACCCCGAGCCCTCAATACTCTGATAGTGCGCTGTTTTTGAGTTGTACGCCTTTTGGCGTCTTCTGGTCCAACACCAATGGAGACTAGGCTCTAAGAAAAGCTGTCTCGGGTGTGGACCAATCAAATTCAAGGACAGTGCATATTATTATCAGAGTTGTCTTTTTTGTTTGCATTTTGACTGCTTGTGTTGTGGTTATTGCAAACATGATGCCTTGAATAAAGGTGTCAGTTTTTGTCCCAGTTAAAAGGGTAAAACCTATTCCTATATCTTGTTTCTGGCAAAGGAGGTCTCATGGTGTGAATCCGTGATCTGGTTCCGTCTGTAAAAGATGTGATTCCGGACATACAGTATCCTGGTGTCTACAAACTAAGTTGCCTCTGTGGTAGTAGTTGCATTGGATTAACCAAACGAGATGTCTCGGACCGCATTCGTGAACACAAAGCAGACCTTAAACACGGTAGGACCAACACCTCGGCCGTGGCAGATCACTGTTATAATTCAGTAGGCTCACGTGACATTGACTTCTCCAAGACAGAGGTTCTTTGCAAGCCATCTGGCTACCATGATTCGTTCATGAGGCTATCCACATATACAAACACAAAGACAATTTCAACCGAGAAGATGGATTCTGGCTTAGCAATCATTGTAAGGATTTGATAAACCATTTCGGGTCTGAATTGATTGTTCACGCTTACGGTGGCTTTCAGACAGCCTACATTAATTTTTCGTCTCCCCCCTCCTCTTTTCCGAACACAGATGGACTCGTCCATCTAAACAAACTGTCAAATCGCTATCCGTGTTACTAACGTTTAAAAATAAGTAAATAAATACAAACCGCCACTTCTTTCAAATGTTCTTGCCGTTGGTTTTCACACCTGATGATGACTGCTTGTGTTGCAGTCGAAACGTCGTGAGAATTGTATTGTTATATATTTATTATTTTATTGTTTCCCTTCAAAGTCACTTTACTGAAAGAACCAAGAATAAGAATTATTCTTAATAACAATTTTTGGAAAAAAGGCCTATATATACAACAGTGAACAATCATGTTGTATGAATCTGTCAATATAAAATAACTGTAATAAAACGTAAATACATATCGTAACCTAGAACGATATAAAAGACCTTTCTATACTCACCGATCGTAAGCAGTGGTTACGAAGAGTAGCCGGCGAGCACGAACAAATGCGTGACGCGTGTAGAACATCCGTTGATTTTTGTATTCGCTTGCAGTTACTTCACAATAAGTAATATGAAAAAAATAAACACGCTTTAATGAAACGTACCGTACGAGTAATGGCACAACTCCACGACTCCAGGAAGTGGCCGCGAGGCTTGCTATAACGTAAGGGACCGTGGTGATTTACAGCCAACGTTAGTTGAGCGTGGACAATTAAACCCAAGCCGAAACATAACATATATAAAAAAATGTTTAAAAATATTTTTTTTATATATTTAATGATAGAATATAGTATTGTCATCAGTATGACATAAGTATTCCAAGTTTGCAGTCGATATCACATTGGGAAGTGGGTTAAAATTGAGTTACAAGATTTGAGGATCCAACAGAGTGAGTTAATAGAAAGCGTGTAAAAAGGGCAACCGTTTAAAGTATTGATGTTTATTATTCGTACATTTATTTCTCAGAACCATGTTGGGTTGGGCAAGGGGGTAACACGGTTGAAACTAAATTCAACAAGGTGGGGGGATACAGCTGTAACCAAACAAGGTTTAGAAGCACTGCTTTCCAGGACTGTTTTATAAAAAAGTATTTGCTGGCATGCTCATGATGCTCCGCCTCCCTCTCCCCCCATACGTTATATCTAAATTAAACTACGGTATTTGATTATGCTGTTGCATTGGCAGTAGCGCACTAACAACACAGAATTAAACACATTCACCACATGCATCAACAATGCTTCATATCACATGTGCTAGCTTCATAGCACAAGCGTGAAGAAGGGCCATTGCCCGAAACGTCACCTATTGTGGTACACGTTTCCTTGTAAGGCCCCTCGGATGCTGCTGGTCAGTCACCGTGGGTGGAGCTGGACGCATCACTGCCACTTTCACTTGGCTATTTTCATTTTAATGTGCAATTTTATTGCGGGACAATGTGTTGTCTTGCTGTGGTCTGGGACTTGTTGTTTTGCTCCCTTACCCAAGCTTGCATTGTTGAAAAATTGGCAGGAATGTATATACTTTTACAATTTGTACTTATATCCTGTATTTAATTTATAGTGAATTATATCCTGTATTTATGAACACGTTTTTATTAATGTATAGTGAATTTCTTACCTTTCCTATACTCTGCACTCCTATCTGTCAATTTTTGCATGGTTGTAAATTTCTGACCTGGACATGTGAAAAAGAGGTTCATTGCTCATCGGATTCCTCCTGCAGTCAAAACAGAGATACTGATATTGTCCGTAGATATGCTCTTTATTTTACCTGTTGTTATTACCATAGGACAATCCTAAAAATCTGCGACGCACGTTTGATTGTCTCTTTATAGTTCCCAGAATTCGCACACAAATTGCATCAAATGCATTCAACCACCCGTGTCTCTTCACATCTCCGCTCTGCCATCTTTGTCCACATAAAAAAAAATGACTTATTAAAATCACTAAAGTATGATTTGTGATTTTAAAACATAATTTATATTTCTTAATTTGTAATTGTGTAATGCTTTGATGTTGTCTACGGGCGCATTAAGTTCCTGCAATTGAGCTCAATTGGCCCAACTGGGGAATTATAGTTATACTAGCTTTTTGCCCCTCCAAGGACGGGTGTATTGCTGTAAATCTGAGGCTTACAAGCGAAAAGCAGACCGCGACGTGATATTCATTGCATCCATGATTATTAATGAGGGGCGAGTCCATGTGGAGGATATAACCTATTCTTTGGGTCTTTCGGTAAAGCCACATAGATAAATTAATAAAATAACAATATCACGACGTTTCGATCGCAACATAATATCTATTCTCAGCAGCGCTCCCGCGATATTTCTCACCTGATGACGATTGCTTGTGTTGCGATTGAAACGTCGTGATATATTTTTTTATTATTATTTTTTGTTATTTGATCTATCTACGTGGCTTTACCGAAAGACCTAAAGAATATACATTCCTGCAGTCACGAAAGCTTTAAGTCAACATAACCTATTCTTGGGTCTTTCGGTAAAGTCACGTAGATAGATTGAAACTAGGTTGAACCTATCTAGTGACTTTACCGAAAGACCGAATAAATGAATTCCTGCAGTCACGAAAGCTTTAGGTCAGGACATATAACCTGTTCATGATTATTGATGGGAGCTGGCCGACGTGGAGTGACGTCACGCGCGGTACACACTGACATTATTGGGTAAATATAGTCTATCTGTTTTAGTGATTTGCTTACTTTTAATAATAATGCCATGTATACAGTATAGTGCTTTTCATCTAATAAGCGCTGTACAGGACACAGCAACAGCAGACACTCACCATACAAATATACCATTTTAAAAATAATTGACGAAATTAACTAAGTGTAGTAAACGGAAACGTACAGATTTTAAGGCGAATTTTCAAAATGTCCACAGACTGAGATCCCTGATATATCGTGGAAGAGCGTTCCGTAGTCTGGGGGCTACACGGGAAAAATCTCGGTCACCCAAAGTCTGCATCCACACATCTTAGGGACCTTGAGGGGTCATATGGGTGCGGCATGTTTTGTATCGTTTGTTGTTGTAAACGTTGTGACACATCCCTTACTGGAAGTCTGTGCACAAGAGCTTTACAGCTTATCGGATACCCTCCCCAGCTCCAGTCATCCCAACAGCCTCATTCAGGGCCTCGGAATGTCGCGATGGACCAAGAGGCGAGGCACGCGACGTCAATCAGCCCCGCACGGGCCAATCAGCGTTCGTGAGCGTCACGCCTTTGCTGGCGCGAGCTCCGATTGGACGAGAGGCGTCAAACGGGGCTCCGTGGCCATTTTGCGGCAAGGCGGAGATCGCCATCTTCTCGGTCCTTGGTAGTGTCGCAGCAATCCGCGTCCATCCTCGCTCCAGTACCGCTCCCTCGCCTCGAACGCAGTTCAGTCATCATCTTGAGCACCACAGCTATCGTCATGTACCCCAACAGGTTCAGGGGCGGCGGTACCCCTTATAATAACAACAATAACAACAGGCGCGGCGGCGCTAATCTCAACGTGCGCCAGAGTTTCTACGGAAATCGCGACAATAGGCCGCCATTCCAGCAGCATCAACAACAGCAGATACATCAACAACTACTCCAGCAGCAGCAGCAAGTGCAACAGCAAGTGCAGCAGCAGCAGCAGAAGCCGCCTCAGGTAACGCAGCAGAAGCCGCTTCAGGTCCCGCCGCAGAAACCGCCGACTCCCGTCATGTCGGCTCCTCTGGGCATCAAGACGGCGCCGAGGGTGGAGAAGCCTGGGCCCAACATCGTCATCAACAACAGCAACAACAAGCCGCCCCAGCAGCAGAAGCCTCCAGTAGCTGTACAGCAGCAGAAGCCACCGGTAACTGTACCGCAACAGCAGAAGCCGCCGGTGGTTTTACCGCAGCAGCAGCAGAAGCCGCCGGTGGCTTTACCGCAGCAGCAGCAGAAGCCGCCGGTGGCTGCACCTCAGCAGCAGAAGCCGCCGGTCGCTTCACCGCAGCAGCAGCAGAAGCCGCCGGTCGCTTCACCGCAGCAGCAGCAGAAGCCGCCGGTCGCTTCACCGCAGCAGCAGCAGCAGCAGAAGCCGCCGGTCGCTTCACCGCAGCAGCAGCAGAAGCCGCCGGTCGCTTCACCGCAGCAGCAGCAGAAGCCGCCGGCCCAGCAGCAACAGCAGAAGCCGCAGCCTCAGTTGCCCCAACAGCAACAGAAGCCGCCTTTGACCCCGCAGATACAGCAGCAGCAGAAGCCGCAGATACAACAGCAGCAGCAGAAGCCGCAGATACAACAGCAGCAGCCGAAGCCGCAGATACAACAGCAGCAGAAGCCGCAGGTACAACAGCAGCAGCAGAAGCCGCAGATACAACAGCAGCAGAAGCCGCAGATACAACAGCAGCAGCAGAAGCCGCAGATACAACAGCAGCAGCAGCAGAAGCCGCAGATACAACAGCAGCAGCAAGGACAACAGAGTTTGCAGCAGCAGCTTCAGCAGAAGCAACAGGCGAAGGCCGCAGAGGAGGCGGCGACCAAGGAGGAGCAGCAGAGGCAGCTGGCGCTCGACCTTAAGACGTTCAGGAAGCCGGGCGAGAAAACCTACACACAGCGATGCCGCCTCTTCGTGGGCAACGTCCCCAGCGACCTGAGCGAGGAGGGGTTCCGCAAGATGTTCGCCAAGTACGGCGAGCCGTCCGAAATATTCCTCAACTCCGACAAAGGCTTCGGCTTCATCCGCCTGGTGAGCGCCTCGCTCTGCTGTAGCTCGCCTTGTTTCTGTCTCTTTTGCATCTCCCTGGCTCTGCCATCTATGGCACCCGGCTATCTCCTGGGTGGCCGCTTTCTGCCCCCTATTGAGGAGGAGGGGGAGTTCCCCTCGCTCCCCTTTGTGTGCTGTGGGCGCTGCGGAGGCGCCATGACAGACGACGACGGGAAGAATCGCCGACCTGATAGGGTTAGAAGAAAGGTAGATGACATCGATGGGAGGTGCGATTGAGATGGGAAAATCGATTGAGAAGATGGGATTGAGATGGGAAATTCGATTAAGAGGGGGATGCGATTTAGATGGGACAATCGATGAGGGAGATGCGATTGAGGAGACGGGATTAAGATGGGAATCTCGATGGAGAAGGAGATTCATTTGAGGGAGATGCGATTAGGAAGGAGATACGATTGAGATGGGAAAATCGATTGAGAAGGAGATGGGATGAAGACATGCGATTGAGATGGAAACATCGATTGAAAGGCAGATGCCATTGAGAGGGAGATTCCATTGGGAACGAGATTCGATTGAGTGGGGAGATTCGATTTGAGTGGGGAGATTCGATTTGAGTGGGGAGATTCGATTTGAGTGGGGAGATTTGATTGAAAGGGGGATGCGATTGAGATTGGAGATTCGATTGAGATTTGAGATGCGATTGAGATATGCTATTGAGAGAGCTGTGATGGATGTGAGATTGAGAGTGTGAGCTGGGTTTTGATTTTTTTTGTCTTTTTAAGTTCAGTATCTTCCCCGTATATGCTCCAACCCTAAGTGACTAGCGTGGTTTGATATAAGGGAAATAACCCCCCATAACCAGCAGGGGCGTGTGGGGATACCCTCCAAAGAGTTTCGTTTTGTGCCGTTTAACATACAAGCAACACTACGCGCTTGTCTCAACAACACGCATCAGATACATCTCGTCAAGCACCCACGCTCCCCTTACGAGACGCGCATCGTTTGCCCTAAAGCACACTGATGACAAACGGGCATGGGGAGTATACAAGCAGCCCTCAACAATCCCCGATTTTTTTGGTTCTATTGCTGTGCGTTGGCAGTGGTGCAAACGTACAAAAAATACTGGACACATTCGTCAATAACACGGCCCCAAATGGAAAAGTGTATAATAGACGACGTTTTGGTCAATGACCGTTAATAGCACAGATGCCAGTGAGTTTGAGTGGATAAGAGTTTTGAAGGCTTTACACCGATGGTTCCTTATGCTATTACATTAAAAAAAACGTCTGCTGGTAAACTATTTAAAGTGGCTTTTGTACAGTTACATATTAGTAACTATTTGAGTAACATAAACCCATCGGTCGTAAAAATACATCTTCTGATTGAAGTAAAATTGTCGAATGTTGCTTGTGGAACATTCCAGTAATGGGGCAGAAGGTTTAGTGAGGTCAAGGAATGATGCTCTGCTGCATCCACACAGACCAGTGAACGGGTCGAGCGTGTGGCGAGGAAATTCGAATTCGGCCAATCAAGGGGGGAGAGGTTGCCGCCAGAAACCACTGGAGGCGCATTGTCATTGTGTGCATTGATGGGCAGTATACTCTTTGGTTCTATTGGGTAAAGTCACGTAGGTGAAAATAAAATAACAAAAAATCACGACGTTTCGGCCACAACACAAGCGGCCTTCATCAGGTGAAGGGACGAGCCTGTCTGGAGGACAGCGCTTTTGAGGAAGGTCAGCGTCTCGATGAGTTGCGACTTCTTGTCCCGTTGTCTGTTAAAAGCTCTAACAGATAGGTGAAAGCCCTCCCCATAGAGGTTATCAATTCTAGATTTAAAGCTTTCGTGACTGCTAGGATCCATACTCTTTGGTTCTATTGGGTAAAGTCACGTAGGTTATTTTCACCTACGTGACTTTACCCAATAGAACCAAAGAGTATGGATCCTAGCAGTCACGAAAGCTTTAAATCTAACATTGATGGGCAGGCCACATACATTTATTAAATTGTGTTTGAAAAACTCTCCCCCACTAAAGAGGGCATCGCAATACTTTATAGTATAAATGAAACGAAGGTAGTCTTACATATACAATCAAGACACGTATCAAAATGAGGGGACATACTCAAGGAAAAAAATACGCTACCTCTGTGTTGAGCGGAATTGTTGCGGTTAGCGCGTTGCGCTACGACCCTCGCGACCCGGGTTCGATTTCCCCTCACAGCCAACAGCAGTGACGATTATCTGAACCAGTCCCGGGCCTCCCCTAGGTCGACTCCGCCTCAAATGAGTACCTGGTGCGGTGTGTAAACATCGCCACTAGGGATACAAAGGCGGCCGGGCGTTGTGTTTGCCACCCACCCCCTCGTGTGCCGTGCCGGCCTTCATAGGTGCTTGCTAACAGCACTTGCCCCAACAGTGTTAAGGTTATAGGGGGGCGGTCTTTGTCTCTGTATGTAAAATGGCAACGCCACGGAGCAAACAAATAGACCGGGGGTGGGGTGGAGGACTCGATACCCATCCCTGTTTGCACACCCCTGCGGCAACTTGGATGCTATTGTAAATGTTTAAAGAGGTTTGAGTTGCCTTACTCTCTGCTAAATCAATAGAAATGTTGTGATTTGACGCCTGTGCCATGCGGTACAATGGTGTAATTTTGTTGCATAGATTTTCAAAGAACGGCACAACTCCTTAAAATTCGATTGTAGAAAATATGGGCACGTTTCAATATTGCTTTTTAAGCTAATTTGAAACATTCCTCCCAATGTACTACGATTGTGCTATTGGCGACATGTCATGAGACGAATCCATTCGAAAAAACCCGCTTATTCAGTGGGCCCAAAAATAGCTTTTACGATATATTGTTCCGTCATAAACCAATATTTGCTTTGGTTGTGACTCTGAAACCACAATATATTATGAGATAATTAATATAAAACAGTAACATACTTTAAAACATAGAATGTATGCGTGTGGGGAGCGGTAGTCATGTGTTTAGCACAGCGCTGTAGACCCTGCGACCCGAGTTCGGTTCCCTCTCGTAAGGAGCCGGTCATAAATGACGTCACGCACCTGGGGGGGGGTCAGACATGTGTGACGGGGGAGACTTTGGGAAATGTGACGTCATCAAAATGCGCAACTTTAAATAAATATAGACAACACGTTCTACTTAATAAAATAGACTTTTAATAAATGTTTTCTCAAACAGAGTGCAGCGCTACATTCAATACGCACTACAATGGCAATAGTTTAAATCGCATGTTTTATTTTTTTTGGGGGGGGGGGGCAGAGCTTTGTGACTTCATATTTGAAGGGGGGGTCTGACTTTTTGTGACGCCGTGTGATGAGGGGGGGGGGGGGTCAAAAATCGTCCAAAATCGCGTGACGTCATTTATGGACGGCCCCAACCATTAACTGACGAATATTTGAATGGGTCTTTCTTTAGCCGTTAAAATATTCAGCCTCAAACGAGTACCTGGTGCGATATATCATTATTACTGGGGAGACAAAGGCGGCCGGGCATAGTGCTGGTCACCCACCCTCTCGTGTACCGTACCGGCCTTCATAGGTTCTCACTAACAACGCTTTCCTCAAGAGTCTGTTAAAACTATACGGGGTGGGGAGCATCTTAGTCTAATAGGCCATGTGCTTTCTGGTCACGTAGTAAGTGTGGCTCCCGAGGTCCACACGCTAAAGAACCACCGTGAGGTGTTGGAGTTGCTTCGATTTATTTTATTTCTCAGCTGAAATGTAGCACAATCATTTGCAAAACCACATTTTTGTAAAAAAAAGTGTGCGCGCAGACAGACCAACTCCCTACACTTGATAAACTGTGGGTTTAACCCTGATGTATGTGGTACACGATGATATCCACTCACGTTATTTAAGCACAATTTTATGGAATCTATTACGTTTATCTTATCTCTGCTTAAAACTTAGCATTTCATAAATGCTGTTTACAATTTACGGGATGGGAAAAAATGGCTTGCCGGTTGACTTGCGTAATACTTTTTTGGAAGGAAAATTTAGCAACCATTTTTACCCCAAATTGACCTTCATCTGGAAAAAAAATCCAGTAGACAGCCATCAGCCCCCACCTCCGGCTCTCAACTCCCTCGGTCGCGCATGCGCAGTTCGGCACAATATGAAGATCGAGCAAGTTTGAAAATTGCTGCGAAATGTCATGTTGAGAAGCACAGCTGTATTCGGCATTTGGTCTACTCTTCAACGCTGCCTGGACGTCTGGGGATATGTTGGCTTACCCACACTTTACCACATCACACCTGACGGTCGACTTGAGTACGAATTTATACTGCTGAGTGTACAGAGAGGTGCAGGGGGCGAATATAAGTCACTCGCACATTTGTTACAATTGCCACACTCAGGAAGGGGATTGAAACTGGACCTCTTCATTGCAATATGATCACGGTTACACAACGGTAATGCCCTCGGTACTTTGTTATCCCACCGTATGTGTGGGTTTTCTCTGGTGGTTCGTTTGCCAATGGTATTTTGGATAACCTAAGAGTCAAGTTAGATTGCCACGGCTCGTCTATAAGGCCTTTACAGAACCGTTTCCAATTCACAATTTCTCAAGCTGTCGATCTGCACGATAACTTCACGAGCAATTGTACAATATTTTACATTCCTTTTACATATGAGTACAGTGATCACCCTGGTATGTATGTTGAACTTCCTTCGCATCGTGCGTAGCCAACCGTGCTAATCAGTTTTGAAACGTAAAATCCTAGCCAATTATCATGACAGAAATTGTGTGTACTTTATTCTTGATTTAGGTTTGGTCTGATTTCTGTTAAATGCATTGTTGTACAGGTACCTGCTTTTGTTTCTGTTTTTGTAGAGAAATGTGAATTACCTCGCCTGGTATACAGGAGGTTGTGGGTTCAATCCAGACCCTGATGCGGACTATATATTTGGAGTTTGCATGTTCTCCCTGTGGTTGCATTGATCTTTCTCTGGGTTTTTCTCTCCAAATTTATAAATGTGTTGAGAGTATTTGGTTGCAATAAATGTCCACATGATAAGCCACTTTGTTGAGCCATCATATGTAGCCAGGTCGCTTCTGTAAAAGAGCTGTCCAGCTCAATGGGCCTTAACTGGTAAAATACAATAGGAGAAATGGGTGGATGTGGGTTGTGTATTTATACTTGGCTACATGAACCCGTAATAACAATTTTCAAGAATAGTTTTAAGTAAATATTTTTAAGCAAAATAAACTTGAAACTTGTGACTCCCGTCCACAGGAGACGCGCACCATTGCCGAGTTGGCCAAAGCAGAGCTGGACGGCATCATGATGCGTAATCGGCCTCTGCGTGTGCGTTTCGCCACGCATGGGGCCGCCCTGTCAGTACGGAACCTCTCGCCCATGGTTTCCAATGAGCTGCTGGAGGAGGCCTTCAGCCTGTTCGGCATGGTGGAGCGCGCCGTCGTGGTGGCGGACGAGCGCGGCCGCTCCACAGGCCGTGGTATCGTCGAGTTCGCTACCAAGCCTGCGGCACGAAAAGCAATGGACCGCTGCACGGACGGCGCCTTCCTGCTGACTGCGTGAGTGCCTTGGGCTTCAAATTCAATGTGTGCAGCCAAATTGTAGTTGAATCCAAAAGTTTCAGGGATAAATGCATTTCATTATTTCCCATTGGATTTTGCTATTGCTGCTATGCGACTCGTTCATAGCTATACGATTGACTACATGGTCTGTTGACCACGTGTTTTTGTGTTAAGCCGCATTGGTGTGTGCAAAATTATGATTGTGCTTGGTCTGTGTAATAAAGGGTAAGGGTTTGGTCACCGAAAATTTACACTTTGGTCTGTTAGCTGGCTATGTTCCTTCTGAACCATTGCATTTGTCAAGGTATCTCAACCCATGGGCCAGTTTCTACTCTTAGCAGCATGTGGCCAGCTGTCACAAAGCTGCATGTATGCCCGTCGTTGACTTTAATTTCTCAGTTTTTGAGGTTTATGAAGAATGGCAATACTTTATCTCATAGCTTGGTGGTTTCTTAATCATCATAAGCTGTGAACTATACTTTGCTAAATGAAGGACTCTCTGAGTTCTATATGTCATGGGTGCATGATGTGACAAGCCATCATCCATCTAGCCCTTAATCGTGAGTTGGTTTTTCGCTCCTGTTTCCATGGTAGACATCCACTCAGGAGTGTTCTCTTTTGTTGCCATTTTTACGATCATCGTAAATTCACCTAACGTTCTTCTAAAGTCCACTTAAGTTTCTTAAGTCAATTTGATGTCAATGACTTGCGCATGTTTTCTAATCCTTCCTTGCTTTACTGTACGTTTTATTCCAAACATGCCCCCCCATGCTTCTTTGCGCACTTTTAGGATTTTGTTCAAAATTCTTTGTCCCCGTTTCTGATGTCACCTTTATTATGCACACTCATTTAGGTTGCTTTTCATTATTAATATTAGTTTATTCCAAAAGCACTCCAGCGTGCTCATGTCTGAATGTTCCGTTTATCATTTTGATTCTCAGTATTATATATGTACGCTGTTGTGTTTTTCATTCGTGTCCCTCTGAAGATATCTTCAGTTTAGTGAACTTGTACATGACTTGTTTTTCTATATGCAGCCATTACTGTACTCAGTTCTGTAATTTTCTGTAGTTAATTCCCATTGGCTGCTTTCAGAAAAAATCTGAGATGCTTAATATAAATTGGGAAATGCACTTCAAGACACCGACGGATACTAACTGTGCCATGTAATTTGCTTGAGGACCCGTTGTGCGATCGACGTAGTAATGGAGGTCTGTGTTCGGTTTGACAGCTCGCCCCGGCCCGTGATCGTGGAACCACTGGAGCAGTATGACGAGGAGGACGGGTTGCCAGAGAAGTCCATTCAGAAGCACCCACTCTACCAGAAGTGAGCATTGCTACTATCAGTTCTCTCACGATGCCTAACTTTTAGTGTTTCAATTTTACTTGCCGACACTTGTGGCTTTCACACTCCGCCTTTGCCGCGTGCTCTGCAATATTAGTGTGGGTTTTATTGACTTGGAACACATTTTTAAAAATTAGGGTTACATGTAAAATTATATTTGCTTTAACCACTCTTATCACGGGGAATGTGTAGACAATGGGTGATCAGGAATCCATTCGAGTGAATAATAGAATGTGTGTTTTCTCTACAATATTTGTATTTGCTTGTTACACATTAAGTGCAACATTTGGAAGCTTTTGGCTTCATAGGATTGTTCTGATGTTGTGCGGTGTTTGCAGGGAACGGGAGCAGCCACCTCGCTTTGCGCAGCCTGGCTCGTTTGAGTGCGAGTTTTCAACACGGTGGAAGTCTCTCGATGAGATGGAGCGTCAACAGAGGGACCAGGTGGAAAAGAACATGAGGGAGGCTCGTGAGAAACTGGATGCTGAGATGGAGGCAGCTTCTCACGAGCACCAGGCCATGCTCATGCGCCAAGGTGACCTTTGCACCTCACGTTCATGTCGTTTTACAGTTCTAACAGATATATATATAAATTACCAGACATCCAGTTTACATTTCTTTGCTGTAAATTTTATGTCCAACGTCTATGTTTACACTGCCCTGCCATGAAATTCCTAATACTCAGCCTTATCCTATGTTGAATGTCTGCACCCACATTATCCGTGATGCTAGCTTCTGATGCTGATAGCTGGTGTGTAGGGTTCCTGAGCTTAATATGATTCACTCGTTTTCAGTTTGTACGCTACACGCATCATGCTCGTTTAAATGACAAGCTGAATGTAATAGACATTTTATCTTCCCAATGTGCAGATAAGTCACTCAATCACCACTGACTTGAACACATTTCTTGATTTGGGTAACAAAAATTTGGTCCTGTTCAACTAAAGAATAAGGACGCACAAGCTATGTGCCTATCATTTAAGTTCTTAAGGTGTTGGGTTGCCTTTATGGAAAGCTGTAGGAGGTCTTTAACAAGGGTGATGTCCTGAAATCCGTTATTTCTTTCAGAGTTGTTGCGGCGTCAGGAGGAGTTGAGGCGCTTGGAGGAACTGAGAAACCAGGAGCTCCAGAAGCGCAAGGAAATTGAGATGAGGTCAGTTTACAAACCTGTTTCAGTCAACATAATTGTTTAATTTAACACGTTACTTCTTTTCTTGGTTCTTTCGGTAAATTCACGTAGAAGGGAAACAAAATAATAAAAATATATTTATATAATCTTATTATAAATATATTTATTATTTTATTGTTCCCTTCTACGTGACTTTACCGAAAGAACCAAGAATAAGAATCCCTGCAGTCACGAAAGCTTTAAATCAAAACGTTACTTCTTACCCATGTCTCTTGCAAAAGGAACGTCGGAAGGTATTCATACATTTAATAGTTCTCCCTTGCATTGTATTTGTATTGCATTGACGCACTGATCAGCTTGTGCTTGCTGGGCTCCTGTGAAACATTACATTTTCTTTAAGATCAGGTAGGAGCCCATTGAGACAATCCATCTTTTCCAAGCAAGCCCTTAAAAAAGTTTTTTGCGCAACATAAACACCGATTTAAACAAAACAGCAATAGCTTATGGGTTCTAGTGCAAAACAATTACGTAAAATGCCTTTTACAGCAAAACGTAGGTTTTGCCGTGATATTACAAAACTACGATATACAAAATAAAATCCACGATGATTGTATCATCTGTTTTGTAAATATAGTCCATATTTTACAAATGAAGGCCTTAACATTTTATACCTAAATACTTGGAGGGAACCACCATTGTCCAGTGTATTTCTTATGGGCCAGGTTTCTTGGGTTCACTGGATATAAATGTATTTATATACAGTTGAGTCACTTTTTCACTGAAGCAGAGCATAAAGGGTGAGGTTCACTAAATGTGGAAGTCTGAATGAATTTTCTCATGAGCCTTAAGTCTTAGTTTTGTTTGTAAAATAAATGTAAAAAAAGAACATTAATGGAGCATGTGACGTCTAAGGTAACAGATTCTTAAGACAGATTATTGTATCAAGTTTTTATTATTTTAAAATTGCAAGTCTGCATTTTAGTTATTATCATGCAAACAGTTTTCCAATTGGCTCCTTTATTTTACTTTTTCCGAATCCCTCCGGATTACCCCCAATTTCAGCTTTTTCAAATCTGCCTTCGAGATGTTTTACTGTGCTTGACTTAAAATACAATTCAAATTTTGTTGATGGAAAAATAGAATGAAGTTGCATATTAGGATGAAATTAAATGTCTTAAATGTTTATATCTTACCTATAAACGTCCTTTTTTGTCTGTCCGTCTGTCTGCGTACGCGTTCTTGCGAGGGGTTAGGCTCTCAGACAGTGGGTTTTACGTCGAAAAAATTTTGCCAGGCAGCAACGCCCTAAGCCCCGCGGTGGGAATAGGCTATTCTGTTCTGCTGTAGTGAAAGCAAGTACCACAGCAGTATGCATAGCTGTAAACATAGGGCCCACCACAGTGAGTATGCACTGCTGTAGTGATAGTAGAAACTGCTATCGGGTTGGTAGATAGTGCTATATAGAGTTAGTAGATACTTAGACAGTATATACCACTACGGTCAGTAAATACTGCTAGTCAGTAAATACTATACAGTCAGTAGCTACTACTGGTTCCGTTGATGCTACTGTACAGTCAGTAGATACAACTACAGAGTCAATAGATACTACTTACAGTGAAAACTTGGATTGCGAGTAAGTTGGTCTGCGAGTGTTTTGCAAGATGAGCAAAATTTATAAATAAATAATAATTTGATAAACGAGCAACGTCTTGCAATACGAGCAGTACGTACAGTATACGCTTTGTCTGCCGAGCGTCACATGATCACAAATGAGCCAATAGTTCTCTCTCGCTGCGGGATTGTGGGTAATCATCTCCGATGCTCCATCTCAGTCGGCGTGCCTCACTCGTATAGTCAACATCCGTGCGAGCATAGACTGTTTACTCCAGTATAATGTTGTGACCACGTGTGTGTGTGCGTAAAGCATTTTTTTAATTTTGTGTCCAAGTGTAGTGACTTCTTTAGTAACTGTACTGCAAGTGAAAGTCGTCCTACACAATAACCTTACTCCTCTCTCTCGTCTCCCTCAAACCAGCCACGATTAAATGTAATTAATAAATTTGATTACTTTATTTTAAATAATAAAAATATAAAAAGGTATTTTGTATTAATCATTTTTATATGAATGCAGTATTTTTTTTTTAGGGTGGGGGGGTCGACAATTTTCAGAAACCTTTTAGATTAACTATTTACCCCCCTACTTTCTATACCTTTTTGGACTTGTGGAAGCCTCTTATAATTTTGTTGGTTGAGAAATGGACAAACGGCCCACCGGTGCTTTCACAATACCTTAGTGTCTGTGTATGTATATGTAAGGTTTTTAAGAGAAGTTTTGAAATATATTTTTTACCCGGGCAACGCGGGGTACTTCCCGTTAGTCTTACCTATATAAGTATTTTTGTCTGTCTGTGTGGACGCACCTTGCGACGCTTTTAACTCACAAACTGTGGGGTTTACGTTTCAAAAAAGTACCCAGATACCACGCGATAAGCCCGGGGGTGAGCCAGCGCTATTCGTATTTCACATCCGTCAGCTTTGAAGTAGTTAAATTAGCAATGTATTACTATTATTAAATTATATTACTACGCTGGGCGTGCGCCAAAGCACGCATCTGCGCATGCGCGGGAACGCTGACCCGTGGTTGCCCTAGCAACGCACACACGCGATCGGTGGGGGCGTGGAAAAATCATTCGTGTTAAAAATGCAAAAAAAATACACAACGCTGAGGTAAATTCTTCATTGTGATGTTCCCCCCACCCCAGTCTGTGCAGTTACTACGATAGAATTGGTAGATGCTACTACTATAGTCCGTAGATACTACTGTAGAGCGGGCGGGGGGATGGTGGGGGGGTTGCAGCCCAGACCCAGCCTGCCAAGGTTCCATTTCGGTCGGCTGGGCAATCTAGGCGAGGCCAGGGGCTCTGCACGGGACTCTGCCTCACCACGGTACTCTGTTAAGTTAGTAGTTAACTGCTATAGAGTCGATAAATACTATTATAGAGTCGGTAGATGCTCCTGTAGAGTAGGTAGATACTCCTGTAGAGTCGGTAGATACTCCTGTAGAGTCGGTAGATACTCCTGTAGAGTCGGTAGATACTCCTGTAGAGTCGGTAGATACGACTAGAGTCGGGAGATACTACTGTAGAGTCGGGAGATACTACTATAGAGTAAATAGATACTACTATAGATTCAGTAGATACTACTGCAGTCAGTAGATGCCACTATGGTCAGTAAATACTGCTACAGTCAGATACTACTGTAGCGTTAGTAGTTACTACTATAGAGTCGGTAGATACTACTGTAGAGCCATATACTACTGTAGTCAGATATTACTATAGTCACGATATACTACTCTATTGCATGTAGGGTGTGTAGGTGTTTGATCCATGCAATCTGGTTTGTCTCAATGTTATTCCCCCTTGGATCTCTCAATTTTTTTGTCTGGACGCTTAAACTTTTTAACTTTTAATGCCTATTTGTAATTGTCAAAATGAAAGAAAATGTTCCACTGGGCACATTGGTATGTTGTTAATGTAGATGTTTGAGAGGGTGGAATATAAGCTGTAAATATGCCATGTGCATTCGCAGACACGAGGAGGAACGTAGGCGGCGCGAGGAGGAGATGATCCGGCGCCAGCGCGAACAGGAGGAAATGCTCCGTCGCCAGCAGGATAGCTACCGCATGAACTACATGGAGGGCGCCGTGAGTACCCAGGTCGCGTGCCGACCCGTGCAGAGCCAAAGCTGGGCTCTCGGTGACTCCGTCTTGGCATTCTTTTAATTTTGCCAGTGCCAATAACAATTGATGTTGCAATGCATGTTCTGTTTATAATCACATAAATACTACTTCTCACCAGGAATAGGGTCTTAAGGGACCAGCATTCTTGATTTTGGTACAGATTTGCTTTGCACACGTGCATCAAATGGTTGTTTTTCCCTTTAATCACGTCTAATGAAAATTATTTGCTTTCATAATATAACAATGTTCATGAACTAAATTTAAGAATTACTGATTTGCTACAAGGGTTTTTACAATTTAATATTCTGCGTGTGGAGTTTGTAAACTTTTCATAATTTTCTGATTTCTGTTTGAATGTGTCAGCCTGTGAATGCCAGCGCTGGAATTTACCCCATTCCAGTGCTGATCATGTAGAGACCAGAAGGTGCTCCTTGCGTAATTGGCAATGTCTACTGTTGCATTCAGCCTGTTCACTTCAGAAAGAGTGCACTCAATGAAAAGTTGTTTTTTATTATCTATAATGTTCGAGCTAATGTGTTTGCTTCATTGAAATTTAGTAGAATTACTTTATTGTTGCGAATATTTGGAACAAACGTTGCAAGGTGGCTTTCTTTTAATAGTCACGTTTGAAACAACTCCAAACTTTGATACCCTGTGAATGAATGAACGCAATCATGCAGTAATGTTGCATAATATATAATTATTTAAATTGGAATTCGAAGCCTTGAAAAAGTATAATTTTTATATGACAGATTGCCTTTACAATTTTAAACGAGTGTAAATATCAATATTAATCCACGTTATATAGAATAATCCGTAGATGGAATTTATGCATATAATGGTATCTATACCTAATTTACAATATGGAAATTAAGTGTCGATTGGCAGCATATTATTGACATCGGCTTGAGTTGTGTATTTACCAAAGCCTGTACATGAGTAACCAAAATATCCTCGGTTAAGAATGTGTACAGCTTCTCTGGCATATATTTCTTATGCAAGTATCTCGTCACGAGCATACACATGTGCATATCTTGAAATTAATTAACGCAAATCTGTACTCTCAGTAAATACCACATGCATTCCTAGCAAATCTTTTTGCACATCAAAATGTAGAGCTGAGAATAATTCCTTTTTCAGACCCATTCTGGTGAGAACACTTGTAGAAAATGTGTCGCTGTTTACAGCACGTGGAACATTGTTGAGACATGCCTAAAATCTAACTTGGATGATTGTTTTCTCACAGGATGATAAGTCCATTTTCACTGAAGGTTATGGAATGCTCCAGCACCAGCTACATAGTTCCCAGGCACGTAATGTTGGGCTCCACATCATCAGGCTGTGGCTTTTAAGAACCTAAGATTGCTGTGTTGGACGCCACCACTGCATTATCATGGGATACTAAACATCACCTCATATATGCAAACACTCTTTGGGACTTCAATGCTGTATTACTTTTGTTCCCAACTTTGCTTTGTGGGACATTTAATTTAAACATGTCTATTTTTAATGCATTTTGTGGGTGCACGAGGTTGTGCGCATCCTTAATGTTTGAGTTGCATATCTCTTACACATCTCAGCGATGGCATGTTACCTAAAATATTCCTCAGGTCATGGCCCTCATGGTAAATAAATATTACCATATCTCAGGGGCATTGATGAAGAGTGATGCAAGTATGTAACAGTACCATAATGCTTCGGGTATCTGTGAGGAAGTTATTACATTGTGAATAACTTTACCCAAGGTTAGCCACAATTTTTGTGGTTTACTGTGACAGAAAATGGCCAGTGACCCATGATTATTGCAAGTAAATTAGGAATGTCACCTAGCCAGGTGACAGTTGATTACATTTCTACCAGTAACAGCTTCAGGTGCACTAACATGGTAAACTTATGAAGGTCATTAAGAAGCTTATTAAGAAGAGAAAAATAACTAGAAATGATACTTAATATAGTATCAATTACATTATCTGTAATGGTTATCATCAATCTCGTCCAGCCATGCTATTTGCTGCAAAGGTCAGCCTGAATCATCGTGGTATCTGTGAGTAATGAAAAAAATAAGGTCCTTGTGCACATTTTGTGCATCATGAAGTTGAATGCGCACACATGCATTTATGGGTGTACACACATACAACTTGCATGCGTGTACATGCACGCTGCAGCTTTTACAAGTACCTAACTGCTGCAAAAAATTAGGTGGTACACCTCACCACTGTGTTGATGATGTTTTGCAAGTTCTACTTTTTGTTGACATTGGGTATTGAAACATCTTTACTGTGGTCCGTGACATCGCAGACCATTAGAAGTTTTAAGCACTTGTTTTGCTTGCTCTTGTGGGAGGGGTTAAGGAGGTGAAAGAATTCCCCTCCCAGCAGAGTGATTGAAATGAGTCCAGTGCTGCACAGTAACTGGCAGGAGCTATTGTGGTGATTGTTTCAGGAGTAGGCTGTAAAGCTGACAAATTGTAACTAATATTGACGGAAGCTGATGAGTATTTTGAAGATCGGTGATTTGTAAGGTCCATTGTGTTAGGATTAATAATGCTCATTGTTAATGCTCAATTGCTTAACTTGTCGTGACTGATTAGCATGGTTGACTACGTACGGTGCGAAAGAAGTTCAACATAAATACAAAATGGGTATTCAGTTTGTAGCGATCGGGGTGATAACCTACTTCGCATCACATGCATGAAGTAGAAGATGAGCATACCATTTGATTTGAGTAATTCAATATTGACACCAAGGTTGAAAGTGTCAATGCAATTGCTCTCTTGCATTCTGTAATGATTACTTATTATGATGATCCAATGAAGGCAGCGTTTTAGGAAAAAGTTGTACCCCGACCAGAAACCGGGCAAATTTAACAAAGGGTTGCTCAACTTGGCGATATTATCGATGTCAATGAAACCTCGTAAGGCGAATTACGTCATTGTGTGACATTGTTCAACTTGACATCATTTAATGATGTCAAACGCCACGTGCCTCGTCCCTGCGTGGCATGCTTCATGTTTTTTGTGCTGCAGTTAGACACCCAAAGCTGGACCATTGCACAGCAGGTAGATACTCAAAGTTTATCCCAGAGCTATGTGTACACATGGGAGATGTCTAGGTGAGTGACCAGATTTCAGATGTTTGGCTTTGAAAGTCCTGCACAGCTTGTTCCTATATAAATTATTTAAGAACAATTTGGTTTATGTCATAGGTGTTTTACGTGAAGCCATTGCTAATTGTGCTTCTCACTTAGCAAAGTGACTGCATGTGCAACAAATACCAATTCGAACTCTTATTCCAGCCAAGTGGCTGAGCACTAGAGTCATTGGTTTGCAGTCGGGGAAGGTTGGTTGCGAGCTTAAATCTGGGTTGTGGTTTAACTTTGCCCATCATCTTTCCGGGGTGAATAGTGAGTATCACTTTATGATGAAGTCTCCAGTGGTTTTATGGATATACTTGCCCCCGTCATAAAAATGTAGAATTTATATCACTGGCCGAGGACTGTAAATGGGAATTGAGCCACCACCTCAATGCTCATTTGAATATTGAATCACTTTGACTTTAGATGTTGTGTAAAGTCAATGTTGGTTATTCATTGCCAAAACTCGTTCACACTGATGAGTTGGGAATTGCCACTGTTTGGTGTCACCAAAATTGTGGATTTTACAGAGATTGGCAAGGATACAATTTGGACTTGGTGCACTGATGTTTGGTGAGCACTGCTAATTGGATTGCTGAATAGAGTTATGGTTTTGAAGATATGTATTTTGAACTTTCTTCGCACCGTACATAGGCATCCGTGCTAATCGGAGGTGTAGGGGAAGGACAACAAACTAAACAGTCCATTGAAGAATTACCCAAAAGAGTGATGACATTGTTTTGTGTTAATTCATATTTTAGCATTATAATTTTCTTTCTATAACACTAACCCAATTTTTGTTCCTGGGTAGTAACTGTTATTTCGTAATTGCTTATGCCTAAAAAGTAGAGAAAATGGCTATTATTCCCCACAAACCTTTTTTTTTGTGACCAGGACAATGATATTTTGAAATTGACCTATTTTCAATGAGAAAACCGGCGAATGTGTCTTTTCGTTCACATAAAGTCAGAAAAAATATATTAATCAAAATTAACATGTATTTATACTAAAGTAATACAAAATGACGACAAAAGATTTAGAAGTGAGTAGTTTTTCGAGATTTACGATTATACTGCAAATCACTTTCACGAATCAGCCCCCAAATGTAGTCTCCCATCATGTTCTCATACTGTCCTTGGTAGCGGCATTCAAAGTCCAGTATATCCTGGTGGAAGCGCTCGCTTTGCTTCTCCTAGTGCGCTCCCATGTACTCCTTGCATTTATCAAGATGAGCATTAAGGATATGGACTTTGAGAGACATCCTGCAGCCCATTGTGCTGTAGTTCTTCACCAGTCTCAAGCAGCTCCACATAGTTTTCGACCTTGTGATTGCCCAGGAAGCGACGAACCACTGCGACAAAGCTCTTCCAAGCCGCTTTCTCCTTACGAGTGAGCTATGGGAATTCATTGCACTCCATGATCGTCTTTATCTATGGTCTGATGAAGACACCGGCTTTGACCTTTGCCTTAGCTTAGGGAAGAAGTCTTGAAGGTACTTGAAGGCTGCCGGCTCCTTATCTACAGCACTGACTGTTTTATAAGGCCCAATTTTATGTGCAGTGGTGGCATCAGCACCTTCTGGGGGTCCACCAGTGGCTCCCACTTGCCGTTGTTCCTATCCACAGAGAACTCGGTCCGCTGTGGCCAGTCCTGCCTGTGGTAGTGTGCCTTGGTGTCCCTGCTGTCCCAAAGGCAAAGATAGCAGGGAAACTTGGTAAAACTGCCTTGGAGACCCATCAAGAATGTGCCACCATTTTGAAGTCTTCGATGACCTCCCAGCCATACTCATCATACTTCAAGGCATCCAGCAAGGTCTTGATGCTGGTGTAATCCTCTTTGAGGTGCACCGAGTGAGCCAGGGGAAGAGACGGGTACTTGTTACCATTATGGAGCAGCACTGCTTTGAGGCTCCTGGATGAGCTGTCAATGAAGAGGCGCCACTCATTCTGGTTACAGGCAATTCCGATTGCCTCGAACAGACTGGTCACATTGTGGCAGAAGCAGAGCACATCTTGATGGGTAAAGAAGCTACAAAAAGGTTACTGACGCTTCCTCTGATCTGCAACTTGCACACTTATCCAACAAGTTCCACTGCTTGATCCTAGACGTCAAAAGCTCGGCATTGGACTTGGTGAGACCAAGATCTCTGATCAAGTCGTTGAGGTCTTTTTTTTGTTGGGGTAGTATGGGTTTCTCTCTTCAGCTCCACCTCTGAAGTTGTCATCTGGATCTACAACTTCTTCCTCGATCTCTGCTCTCTTCTAAAGACGGCTGCTGTCTATCCGGAGGAGTGGGTACGGTGACCTCATGGCAGTGTGGCACCGGGGCGATGGATGAAGGAAGGTCCAGATACGTGATAGGTGCATTCTTGCCAGTCAGACGTTTGGAAGGGTCCACCATGCAGAAGTAGCACTTGTTTGAGTGGTCAGTGGGTTCCCACCAAATTCTTGGGATAGTGAACTTCATGGCTCTCTTTTCCCCTCTGTAACCATCCTACAAAAATACATTTATTTCACCCATGACTAATGTGTAAGAGATTCTCGCTACATTCTTCATATATGATATGTTTTATTGAAAACTTTTAATAAAAAAAACTTTTACAATTACATGTTTTTTAAACAAATTTATACCATAAAATTCCAACCAACAATTGTCCAACTTACCTTCCAGAGTTTTTTTGCATTGCTCGCAGGTGAAATGAGGTGCTTAGGGTTTGTCTTGATCCCCAACAGGCATGCCGAAATATGCCTTGTAGGCCTCGCACATCTTAGCAGATGCTTCTACAGAGTACTTTTTCACTCTTTTCTTGATGAATTGGCCGCAGACATAGCAAAATGTATCTGCCGGATGCTTGCAGCCTCTTGATGCCATCTCAGAAAAATGCAGATATGTATCCACTTGGGCAGCTGGAACTAAACTGAACTGGTGGGCTTTAGGCCCCTGTATTTATACTATTTATATTACTGGAAAGTTCTAGACCATTCTAGAAGTTACTCCAAGTTTACTCAGCACTGAATCTATCTGGAATGTTATGGAAAATAGGTAAATTTCAAAATATCACTGTCCTGGTCATAAAAGCAAAGTTTGTGGGGAACAATAGCCATTTTCTGTACTTTTGAGGCATAAGCAATTAGGAAATAACACTACCCAGGAACAAAAACATTTGTTACACAGTGTAATCAATCCTCTTCCCCCTCAAGATTTGTAATACAAAAGAGTTACCAAGTGTTTATAATAAAGTGTAATTATTTTTACACTTTTGCAGATTTATGATTACTGCTGTCTCATGTTCAGTCTTTTGTCAATCCACTGCTAGATTAAGACCTCCCCATGCCATGTCAGTCTTAGGTGTTGTTTGCTCATACTTATTGGAAAGGGGTGGGTGGGTGACGGAAAATGACCAGTTCTGATATTGTTCACTGTGGTCAAGAATCCAATTTCATTAGTCGAGCTATCCATAGTGTGCTTTGCTAAATACTGCGCACCCCTTCATTCTCACGCACTGTAAACACAGGCCCTTAATTTCCTTTAATGTGTATACACCATATTGAATAAGATAGACAGCTCTATTTGTGAATGCAGATGGACAAATGTAATATATATTTAGTTGTATTAAACATGAAACGGTTTCCCATCAGATGTTGAGCAGCAAATCTACAAGTCTGAGTTAATATTTTTCAGATTTTTCCTGTCATGGAAAAGCTTTGTTTATAATCGTCTTCTCTCAAGCTGTCTTTGTAACTAGGGGCAGGTTTTTGCACTTGAAAAATATGTCGGTGTTGCATATTTTGTTTGGCATCTCAAAGATGTTTTGTCATCGGTGAATGTTCTGTATTTTTTATCGTATATTTGAGCTGTCTACAAAATGGCAGTGATGGAAAACATGAACTATGAACAGTGTGTGGAGGTGCCCACTTCTATGGGAAATATGGGGTTTGGGTATCCAGTTCTCAGTTTTAAGAATACAACTGTAGTCACGGTGACTTCTATTAGATCAATGAGTCACATAACAAATATGCTCTGCATGCAGTGAAAATACACATGCGCACATCACTGGAAAAACACTAGACTGGGCATAGGCTAGTGTGCTGTGCAGTGAGTGGAGAGTTCGGCTAGCAGAAGTAGGTTTTCTTGTTTGAGTGGAAGGTTGCTGCAAAAAAATGGGGGTTGAATACAAGCATCTATAGCCAAACAGACAGAAGCGCAAGGGGTGTTAGGCTGTTTTTAGTGGTTTAGATGAAAGTCATTTCAGACTTTCAATTAGAGTTTTTGTCAATTTGTAGACGTGCATTTCATATCCAAGGGTATTGTCCATTTTGGTTCATTTTCTAGTGTTATTTTATTATGGCAGTGCATTTATTATTTTTACCTATGTTTTCTCCCATTGACTTCCACAATTGGACATTTTGCATCATCTGAGATGGATTTTCACATTTCTATCCTAGAAAACAATACTCTACCAAAAACTGAATAATGCTTCATGTAAAGTGTAAGATGCCTTTAACAGTTGTTTTTAGATGCGATTTTTACAAAAGGAAGACTCCATTTCAACCCTTTGGAGGTGGTGAATGAGCCTATGAATTGATTTTCATTTACAGAGAGAAGGCGAGATGCGTATGACTGATTTGGGGGCCCGCAGCAACATGTCCATGACAGGTGAGTGAGAGTCCAGACACGGGACGTTGTGCTCTTAAATACACGCTTGTACTACACTGGACACGCATATCCATGTCCTAACTTGTTGGAAAATGCAGGTTATTAAATAAATTAGATGCTTTTAATGAGGCATTCTAGTGGATAACCTTGTAAGAATTTGTTTAAAGTCTTTTAAGGCCAGCATATAACAGATAACCTATTTTGTGATTGGAAAAAGCCGAGCACAATTATTATAGTCAGCCAAATGAAATAAAGTTTTGTCAGACATCGCCAACCAAGCTTTGTGGAAAAATGTGAACAGAACACATTGCAGGAGTTGAAATTCAATTAACCTTGCATAGGAATTTAGCAGGTTGTGAGATTCCTGGATTAATGAGTGTGTATGCATAAACTTGGATGTAGGCTATTGTCATCTGCACTTGATGATTGTGCTTTGTATTACAATTGCTGAATTGTAGGTATTTGTTTAAAAAAAAACTTAACGTGTTATTAAATCTGCTGGGTTAATACCAGGTAGAATATTGGATAATTGGACAAAATTGTGTTTGAAATATAGTTTTGCTCATGAACTTATGTTCCAAAAACAGATTCTATAATTTGAATGATGTAATTACCTGTCAAATTGAGAATAGCACAATGGGGAATGGCCATGGTATAGCATTCCAAAAGTAGACATTCTTCTTATTGCTCTGGCTGTACCATGGTTTAAGTGTTCCACACGTGCCAAGAAGCTCATAACGTTAAACGAGTAATTCTTACACGTGTTCCCAAATAGCTATTCAAGCGAGCATAAATGTAATTTCAGTTACAAATATTTGAAATGACTTAACTCCATACTCGGAAATTCACAGTAGTTTTATGTTTTAATTGGCATGCTGAAGTGTGTTTTTGAAGAGGCATATTGTCTATGACAGGGTCATTTAATGAAAATATATTGCATTTGTATGCTGCACACAAATGCCTCAGCAACTCAAAGCGCCTTGCATCACATCTCTTATCCAACGTTTGAAGGGGACCTCAGCGGCAGCTGCTGCTGTGCAGCACAATGTAACCGGCCTGCAAGTGGGCATTCCTGCCAGTAGGGGGCGATGATTGCTGTGTAATCCTATTAGAGTAATTTGCAGAATTTGTCATGTAAACTATATATTTTAATTATACCAGGTAAAGCCCACTGAAGGCACCTGGCCACAAATGATAGCTCAACGAAGTGGCTTATGTGGAAATTCATAGCATCCAGATACTCTTAAACGCATGTTGATTCTAAATGTGGAGGGAGAAACCGGAGTACCCGGAGAAAAATCCACGCGATCATGGCGAGAACATGCAAGCCACAAATATAGAGGTGTCAGGATCGGGATCGAACCCACAACCTGCTGCATACAAGGAGAGGTAGTTAATATCTTGCCACGGGCACCCCTAATTTGGACCATGATGCGGTGCATTACGACAGTAGCTATATGGCGGCTCCAGAAGGAATGTGGGAAAGCTTAGAGGAGTCTATTGTTGGTAAGCCCTGCCTGTGGGCTGCCTCCTTCATCGGTCTCCAACATTTGTGGTGTCCCACCAAATGAGACTTGATTGTTTTTCAATGATTAAGCAACTCTTAGCAATAGGCAAAATAAAAAGTTATCCCATATGCACGGTTTGGGTTTTTTTTCCATATTCCTCCAATTGTGTGACTTAATATACAATGAGGTGTTTTGAGGGGGTGTGCCTTTGTTACACTGCTCTGAAAAAAAAATGCTTTTGTGAAGGAACAGTTGTGAGCAACCGGTATGCAGCTGTACACATTTTAGTACATTGATAATGTTGAAATGATGTGACATAAAAGTAACTACCTGGCTTTAAGGGTGCCAGTTTTTATAAGATTTATACCGAAATATAGAATTCCTGGTGAACTTGGTCGTATTTTGTGAGATTTCACAGGGATATCCTTATTTCTAGAATGGTCTATCTTCTCACAAGCACAAGTCCTCCACGTGTTTTGTGTCTAACACAGGGTAGCTTGAAATGCACATGATGCTTGTTGCTGACATGGGGTGATGCAAGCAACAGCTCAGATTTCAGTTTGACTGGATCGTGCAGATATTGCTTGTAAGCCGCATTTTCAAAACAGGTGCATTATGGTGCACACTAAAGGGTTGAGAAGGTCAGTGTATTTGCTGTATGTATTAAGGGCTGCTATACAAAGTGTGAACTACAGTAGATCTACACTTTATCCATGCTGAAACTTCAAAATAAGTTACATTCTAACATAAATGGGAAAAGTAATAACTGCTCGCAAATAGAAAATCGGGAAAGTGTCTTGGTCATTTGTGTGCAAACAAAAAACTCCAGGTTGGTTTTCAGAACTTGACGCGGTTGATATTTTGTGATGGTTTGTCATTGTATGGGGCATTGGTCTCGCACAACCTAATTGTGCACAATGATGAGCTGCATCGTGGAAGTAGTCATTGATAATGTATGCAATTACCAGATTCATTGTCTGCTCAGACACAAAGCATTCGGTGTGCATTTTGGCCTGTTCAGTGGCGTGCCATGCATGCTGCGGTCGGTGGTTGTTACTTTGGGGTGTGGCTATATGCTTTTAATGTTGGCCCCACTGCCGAAATTAATTGGCTCATTCTTGGTACTGCATTAAAACACATTAAAGTTATCGCAAGCGCACATCTATGCCTCAACCCAAGAAAGATCCACTGAGTGAAGTCTTAGAAAGGTTCTGAATTGGGATGTTTGGCTTATGCCATTAATGCGTGCTTGGCTTTTGGGAGGAAAGTGGAGTAACCAGAGGAACCCCCCCTATACACATAGGAACAATAGTCAAACATGTTCATAGATGGGTTCAATCAAGTGCTGTATTGCCATTTCCTGGCCATCTAGTAGCTCGGACCGGACATAAAACAGCTAAGTGGTCCATTTAAGTACTAAACAGGCTCAAACCTGGAATCTGAAATCTAATGATCAGACACAATATCTGGCATCAACCCCAAGTGGTTTCGTATATAATACACGACCTCTGTAAAAAAAACCCAATGATTTGGCATGGATTACATGTCTCTAAAATAACCCTCGGCTAACAATGAATAAAACCTTACATTTTTTGGGAGCATGGATTATGTGAGTACCAACATTAATCTTTCAACTATTGAGAATTGTCTTCATTGCCGGAAGGTCCAATTGCTTTATCTTTACAGTTCAATTGTGGATATAGCCACTGAGCTATTGTGGGTGCTAGATTTATTCACTGGTGCATGATGTGTACTTGAGAAAGTTTGCTTGCTTTTGTAACCCATTGCTTGTTCTATCATGAAAGTTGGTGTGCTGGTCAAAAATGTATCTTTGCATGAACCCTTATTTGCAACTTAACGCGTATGCCATCAAAGTTTACTCAATTTCACTGGTTGCTAGTCTTTTACTATCAATGACCAAATACTGATTACGAGACTTAGGTTGCTTATTGGATCCAAGTATATGTGTTTCTATTCAAATTTCACGCATTTTGGTGCTTGGGGAGAGTATTTTATTATTTGGAACAGTTACTCGTTTGATTCCTGTTTGGATGTCAACTAAGCTTGTGTATTACATCGTTTGTGGATTAACTGCAACCACATCAGAAATTATGACAAAAATATGGTTCTCGGTTTGCCGCAATTTAAATGTTTGGTAATAAAAAGTTTCACATTTTGAACTGAGAAATGAAGGGAAATACTGTTAGCACACTGGACTTGCAATCCAGAGGTCTCCAGTTTGATTTGGCCTGCCGGCATCGGAGTTTTGAAAACAATGGGACAAGGTTCTTCAATCTCCTCCAATCTTTTTATCCAGAAGGCTAAAATGGATATACCATGGTGGGTTGGTTGTTCACGCATAGTGGGATTATGTGTGAGCAAATCCAGCTCTTCCAAGAAGTCCTGTCAGCGTGGAAGAATAGACCAGATGTCCCCCAGAGCTCGAGCACAGGGTTTTCCAAACTCCAGTCCTTATGACCCACCATGTCGGAGCTAAGTGTTTCCGTGTTTACCAATTTACCTTAATTCAAATGCAAATTCACTCGTTCCACACTGCACATGCATGATAATTGTTAAGCAGCTTGCGCTGTCTGCGGTTAATAGAGCCATTGAGATCTCACTGTGTCTGTACACATTAATTGCATTTTAACAATCATTAGGCATATGCAGCGTGGAATTGGTTAATTTGTAATTGAATGAGTAAATTGGTGAACGTGGAAAGCAGTATCTTGGTGGGTTTCATGGACTGGAGTTTGGGAAACCCTGCTCTGGTGGTTGGCCAGCCAGCAGTGGCATTAACAAGCGATTGTACCTTTACGTTTTAAATGAGAATTGATAGAATGTAACACGTGGTGCCTTTTCAACATTCTCACATTCCAATTCACATTTGACGTGCCTCGTCCACTCAACCCATCATCCCTCTTGGGTTGATTAAACAAGGACCACTGGTGTGTCAACATTGAGTTCTTTTGAAATATATGCCCCCATGATAGATATCTGGGATTTGCCCCACCACTTGCTCATGATTGCCAATAGAGAAGAGCCCCTGCAAAGAATGTGTAATAGTTATGTTCGTTTAAAAGGTAAAATGATTCGAATCAGTCATTCTTAAAACTGTGGTGGCTTTGACTTTACCACTTCATGCAGCCATCAGCTCTCATGTCAACTAAATGCCCACAAAAAGGTTTTCAGTTGGCACCCACATCTAAGAAATGGCACAAATGCAAAGTCAAACATTTATTTGGTGTGGAATTTACACTATTGGCACAAATCTGCTTATGGATATGAGCAGTTGCTTGTATTCATGTTATCCTGGACATCTGTTAAAAAAAACAGCTTCATAGCTCATCGGATTCTTCCAGTCTAAAAATACTGATTCTTAGTTGTGCTTTCTGAAAGGGTTGCATTTAGATGCACTGGGCCCTCTCACTAATTTGCTCACCCGCCTCTACTGGACATAGCTTCATAGCTTATCGGATTCCTCCACTATTAAATAAAGATTCTGATTCACTGGCAAATGTGTTCAATAACTATCCCGAGCACCGCGGTTCAGAAAATCTAAAGAGTGACTCGTGCTGATGGGACTGTGTGATGGGATCGGTATCACCAAGGGGCCAAAATAAGGCGGAGAGGTTTATAGAACCAAGCAGTCAAGGGTCATGAGACCCAATATGAGACTGGGTAGAGCAGAGCAGCAGCAACACTAGGTCTATACTCTATGGTTCTATTGGGTAAAGTCACGTAGGTAAAAAATAAAAATAACAAATCACGACGTTTCGGCCACAACACAAGCGGCCATCAGGTGAAGGGACGAGACTGTCTGGAGGACAGCGCTGGAGTTGTCCTCCAGACAGTCTCGTCCCTTCACCTGATGAAGGCCGCTTGTGTTGTGGCCAAAACGTCGTGATTTTTGTTTTATTTTTTTACCTACGTGACTTTACCCAATAGAACCAAAGAGTATGGATCCTTGCAGTCACGAAAGCTTTAAATCTAGAACACTAGGTCTGCCACATGAAGCTCAAAGTGAAGTTAAATCTATGCAAATAAACAATAGTTGCAGTTTGGCGACAGATGAATCGTACGAAATGGTCATTGTTTTAGATTAGCTTCATGTCATTGTGTGATTGTACATTTCGCACTTGGGGATTCACCTTGCGCCATGACGACCATAATTCTGAGTCAAACCAAGACTGGCAAGATGGGGACAATTTTTGAATCGATGAGCTTTGAGAAACGCTCAAGTGCCCATATGCAGACATTCTCTTTATGCTCTACTTGCGTTGTGAAGGGTTTTTTTGTTCAAATCCTTGAGGGGTCTAATTGGCCAATCGGTACATGGTGGATGAAATCGCTATCACTCGGGTAAATCAACAGTGGGTCATCTCATGGTTCGATTAGCCACTGTCATGTTAATGTGACATTTTCACTGCTGGATCAGATCCACAAGTGGCGATAAGCACCGCACAGCATTTCGTCCAGCATAGAGAATACACGTCTATAGTTCCGCGGTTTGTGAGTACGTCCGAACGTTCACAAGTCCAGTGGTTACAAATAATAATGTCTTATGGCGGTTCGATCCTAAGTGAGGATGTCCGTAAATCGGACGTTCGTTTCTCGGGGACTGCCTGTACTTCAATACATTTACACTAGTCCATTTCAGTTATATAAAGCCCGTGAACTCTACGTTTTAAAGAGTATTTAAGTGTTTTATTTATTTTGAAAAAATTTGGTTAATTGTGGCGCAATACGTGGACAGGAATATTGATTAATATTGGAAAATAGTGACAATAGACTAGATTAATGCAATGTAAAAGTAACCACCATTTAATGTACATTTAAAACCTGTGGTGTTTTTCTCAGTTCATTTTGTTTTCCAGGAAATGCATAGGTCTCCCTGCTTGGCCAATAACACAGGAATCACTCGTGCCTAGGCATCACTCCCACCGAGATTAATTGATTTGTTAATATTCAGGGTCAATTCAAGAATTACATTTATAGCCTTATTTTTACCATCTCATTTGTATTGTTGACCGATTGTTGTGTTTTGTTTTTGCAATTATTTCATTGGCTTAAATGTAACATTTGCATACTATTCGCTTATAATTTGCATCACGTCTGAATCTATTCTTGCACGCACAATTTCGATGCCCATATCGTGAGCGTGAGCATCCACGTGAACCGATCCGTCCTCCTTAACGCTGCGCAGCGTCGGGGGAAGGGTGTGCGGGGTGTTTTGGAGTGTGCATCGTGTGGTGTTCGGTGTGTCGTCTAGATGGGTATGGGCAGGCTGTGACGGGCAACCAGGGCCAAAACGCCATGCTCGGCATGAATTACCAGCAGCAGGCTGGGGCAAGTATGGGCCAGGCGGGGGCAGGAGCGACCGGAGGGATGGGCAGCCCCATGATGGGCTCGGCCAACAACGGCATGGCAACGGTAATGTATTCATTGCATGCACACCAGCACTTTGCACACACTGCATAAACTACGGAAGATGCACTGCAATGTGTATTCACTATTACCTGTTGAGGTGCCATTGCATATCCTACAATAATACATGCTGAAGATTGACACTTAAAAGAATACTGCAGTGTTCCAGATATACATTCACCGTGGATATTTAAACACCAGCACGTAATCTAAAAATCATTTTTTTTAAGTTCACTTGAATTCACCACAGCTGAAATATGCTGCAAAATGACGTGTGTGACGACGTCCTTCAATGTACACGTCGGAATCGTACTCGGCATCCTACTCGGCGTGTGTTTTATCACATTTGAGAATGAAGCAGTGGTGAAAGAAACGGGGAGCAGTTGGAATTCAGCCATCACAGTACAAACCTATTGTTGGGTGGAGAATGGAGGATCCTCCGGGCATGTATCTGGTCCATGTGACTGTATACTCGTTAACGTAACCAGATGAGTGTGGGTTCAGCTAGATTGGATGAGCAGGAGTCAAGCATCTGGCTGAATATGATGCCGATGGGTTGACGGTAGTTTCGAAATGTGCAGTCTTTGGGCTTTTTTGCAACACGATCAAATTTGACTTGTAAAAACATTCTGTAAAGCCACCATCTCAATGTAAGCTCTTGATTATTGCAGACTTCTTATTTTTTGGATAATATTAAGGCTGTTTCTTTTTTTATCAAGTGTTTAGGTATGTTAAGCTTCTTTGCCCATTTTTGACTTCACGTATTTTTTTACATGTATACTGCTGAAGAAGAGTACACACAGCTGTCAACAACCATGAAATTGGATCATAGGTCTTTGCCCCCCAGTGTGTCTCATTAATTTGTCCTGCAAAAAAACACTTTATGCTTTATAGGCAATTCCTCTGCTTTGCTGTGACAGCATATTTCTTTGGGAACAACACCACCATCTACCAATGTGGTCAACATTCACCGTGCCTTTGTGAAAATGTCTTATGTGCGGTCACAAACCTCAAAACGGTGTGCCCAATTTGCTGCCTCAATCTGAAACCATAAATGTTATGCAACTCAATTGTGACTGACTAAATCCTTAATGCGTTTTTAATCATCACTAGTTAAAATAATACAGAGTAAACAATGCATTTCCTGTGCACCTTTTTCATTTTGACTTGGTACTATGTAACTAAAGCTGGCATGTTATTAACAGGCAGATTGGTTCCTTGCAATTAATCGATTGCATTACAGGAAATGTAAGGTTTCTCCAGTCTAAAGTGTAGATGGTGGTCGACAGTAGATAACTCAATATTATTTAAACTGTACAGTACCGTTTAACTTTGTACAAAACATGGTTAACTTCATTTCTTTGTGGAATATTCAATTTTGTTTCTGGAGAAAATGAGGCTTAATTTGACATTGATTTGCTTTGGAACAGCCATACATACTTGATTAGGGAAATGTGCATTATTTTGGCAAAACAGCCTTTTTAGGATTGAGGGATCCCATTTGTATCTGAGAGCCAATTACATTTATCTTTATTAGCGTGTGATGATATTTGCATGTCCAAATCATCGGTGCAATATACATTTAAGTATATGGAGGTCCCACAGCCAACCTGAAGGTGATATTTTTCCTCAAATTGATGCAATGGATTCTCAACTTCGGAACTTTAACATGGATAACTTGACATTTAATTTATCTTTTAAGAATTCTGGGGACCCAAGAGGGAGACTCGTCACCACGTGCAGCTTGCTATCTGTGTGTAAAACTGGGGTTGACACGAGATGGTGACATCCATGACACAGCCAATATTCAGTTAATAAAGTTAAATGTTTTAAATGTCCGAATATAATTACGGCATGCATATATTTTCTCAGATTGTGCTACGGGTCTCGTCATGATCGTGTCCATTGAGCGCTCTTGGAGCAATGTAACCAAGTGTGGTAGAGAGCTGCCCCTGAGGGTGGTCGATATTTTACCGCTTCTAAAATCCCTTGACCTTTTGAGCTACAGTAGGGGGCGCACCACCCTAAGTGCCCTGGTGCGGGGACACACCAATGTTTTTTTTCTAAAATTCTGAGATCTGAACTTCAATCATTGGTCATTAAGCCACATGGCCTTCTGTCCGTAAAATATTGTAATTTTAATCCTTAAATAATTTTGAATGAATTTTTTCTTGCACCAATGTAACAAAGCGGCTGAATTATTAAATATATTCCTTCCCACGAATTAAATATGAATCTGTGGTCTGTGCCTGTTATTCACATGGCACCATCTCATGTCATTGGTTTTACTGCAATTCAATTCGTGCTCCTACATTCGGGGATTTAGAGCTCTCTCACCCGGTTGCCTAAATTCTTAGCTGGAAAATGATCAATTTTAATGACTAGGAATGGTGATTAGCACAGGGTTCTGGAGCGTTGGGTCACTATAGTTGATCCGAATCATGACCTCCCTCCCCCTGCTAAATTACAGCACCAGCCTGTGGTCACCTCACCTACAGATTGTGAAACTCTGGATTGGAATGTTAGTAATTAATACGTTGTGTTATGTAGTATTAACATTTGCATTTAATGTGATGCACGTACAGGATAGGCATCACTGAAGTTTTTGAGACTCAATAGTGAAACTGGAATTTTTATGATTCCAAATGATAATGGCTCAAAGTCACAACAATGCTTTATAAACAAGTTTTTTTCGGTTAAATACAAACTCCCAAGAGTTAAATAACATTTAGGATCCTTACATTTCAGTAAAAGCATGAATTGCTCAGTGCTTATTGTGAAATGTCACAACTGGGAGAAAAGTCCGAGGCTGACTTGATTAATTTTCTGCCTTGTTTTAATGCAGTTTCTTTATGTAAAAAAGGTGGATTATTTCATTGTATATTGGTAATCACCACTGTCCATGTGCAGGGAAATGGTATGTGAGCTGTACAATGAGCAAGTGCATATACAATGACAAGTCTAAAGGAGTTGCATATTCCATGGATTGTACTGTGATGGCTGTTTAGTGAGGGTTGGCTGTGCTCAATTAGATTATCCCATGCTGTTTGCTGTGGTGTGTACATCATGCTTTGTGCTCAAAGTACCATGATATTCTGGGTTTTGTTACTGAAGACCTTTCAACTTGATATTAAAAATGACACAGCGTTTTACCATTTGAACAAACTGACAGTATATTTACTTTGAATTTACATTTAACGTCTTTGGGTATCTGGTTGAAATTGGAATCCATTTCATATGAGAGTCCTAGTCGTACGATGAACAGATTTTTGGACTTTTTCCTTGTGAAGTTTTAAGTATGTAAAACATTTTTGCATTTGGTTGCTGTTAATTATTTAGCTGCTGCCTTACATTGCTTATTCCTGTACGAGCGCTGGAAACGGCTCTGGCACGAACGTTTCGTGTATACAACATGCCGAGAAAATACATTTCAAACGTACATACTGCATGCTTACATGGAGTAGTAATAAAACACGGTATCGTACGTATTTATTTCTCTAGTAGCAGACGTGTCATGGTGTATGTAAATTTGGAAGAGCGGACAGCTCAGGTCTTCATTATAAACAGTTGGGCACGTCTTGGGTTTTCTTGGGTTACTTTGGCTGTTGAGTGGTATTGATACGCCCCCAAACCGTACGGTTCATACAACTATAAACAATTACGGCTACTGATGTTCCACTTCACTTGAGCCTTATTCAAAATAAATTTGCGTTTTATATATTTTTTTTACTTTAGTGCTGCCCAAAAGTCCTAATTTTGGACAGTACATTGCTTTAACCCCCTCCTGTTAACATGTGAAGCGTTGTTTTATTTTTGTTCACTAGTGGCAGGTGGTTCTGGGTGCTGCAGTCTAACGGTGTGTATTGTGTACGCCTGTTTCTCTCCCCTCTCCTGCCCGGTACCACTGGACTGGCGGTGTAACGGCTGAATGTGTGTGCTTTATCACGCACACACTCGTACGGACATCCGACCCTCACTGAACATTTCATTTGAACTAAATTGCACCGTTGCAATTTATGAACGATATTGTGTATTTCACGATGAAATACGAACATTTATACATCAACTATGAAACTTGTCGGGACTACCTTAACTATCATTTTTGTTTAATATTTTCAACATTTTAACTATTGTTGTAAACCTACCTACAAACGTATCGACTACGATGATAAATTGATTTATTTAAAATTTATATTGTGGATATATCTGACATTCAAAATTTGGGGGTGGGTTATCCTGGGGTCCTGGAAACTATTTAATGTCACCACTACATTGCTTAATTGCTTGCAACTATAATTTCCTACCAAACGCAACATCTCGAATTTGATCATAATATTTTTCCCCTTTCGCTGTCCCCTAAACGCGACAACCATGCAAACCTGTTGCCATGCCGGCCAGCAGTATGCTGATCGTTATGGGCAGCAGCAGCAACAGCAGCAACAGCAGCAACAGCAGCAGCAGGGGGCTGGCATTGGGAACCGTGGCACAGCCGGCAACAGGGCCTTCATGGCCACGGGTGAGGCCAACGCCTACTCCTCGTACGGAGGAGGCGACTATGAAGGTCCTAACAAGCGGCGCCGCTACTAGACAGCTGGGCCCTGGTGCCCCACAGCTGCCTTTCAAACAACTCTCAAAAGCCCCACTCCTGGTCCTTTTAGTGTCTAACTCGACCGAAACACGTGACCTCTTGCAGAAGCTGAGCTGGTGTTTGAAAATGTCGAAGTAATTAAAAACAAAGCCTGTTTCATCTTCTGGTAAATAGGCCATGCCTTTTCTCTCCTTAAATGGGACTTTAAAAAAAGTTGGGTTTGTTTTAACGGTAGACCATGACTTTTATAAGTCAAGCAAACACGAGGGGTTAAATTTTTTTATCAATGTACATTGGCGTTTACTTTGAAAAACTAAATATGTTACAAGATCGTACGTAGATAACAGTTATCTTTGTGGCAGTCTGAACTAGAGCCTAGAGCGATGGTGCACACCACTGAAGTCCAGATAGAAGCATA